ATGGAATATAAATAGCGAGGCTGTCCCTATGTGTACTGCGCGGCCAGGGTGGCAGTCAATAAGCTTCAGGGAGGCTGCCTACAAGAAAGCCTTCCACAAATACAAATAAATATGGTGGATATCTTGGAAAATTGATACAGATGAGATGGTATGGTCAGTGTCTTAGCTTCTGGGGGGGGGGGAATATCACATCAATATTGTTAGGCAAGACACATATGCAACAGTTAGGTATTTTTATTTCGAAACGTTTCGCCTACACAGTAGGCTTCTTCAGTCTGGAGAAGAGCATTGTTCCATGGAATGAAACAATATGGAATTGTTTCATTCTATGGAACAATGCTCTTCTCCAGACTGATGGACTGACCACCTCAAAACTTTAAGGGTGATGGACTGATTACATCGTCTTCAAGTCTCTTCTGCTTCTATCAACTTTTCTGTACTCGACTGAAGAAGCCTACTGTGTAGGCGAAACGTTTCGAAATAAAGATACCTAACTGTTGCATATGTGTCTTACCTAACAACCTGTCGGTATTTTATACCATTTTAATGTTCACATCAATATTGTTTAAGATAACATAAAAATGCTTAATTTTTGTGCACTACCAGTGTTATAAAAATATATATTTTTGTAACAGGATATTTACACTTAAATGTGTATTTCTGAGTATATATGATGAGAGTTTACTTTAATCCCTAGTTTAAGGATTAAATTATTCTTGTCTGGCGGTGTAACTCCTACGTGCAGTCTTAAAAATTCGATGGGCTTTAAATCCCATTAACCCAAATTTTGTTTCGGTGTATATATGCTGAATTTATTTCACTCCCTATTATAGGGATCATGAGATGCTTGCCTGGCTAATGAAACGTTACATACAGCCTTAATAACCTTCGGGGTAGTCGACAGGCTTAAAACCAAATTAATTTGCCAAATTTTCATACATGTTATATACTCCGAGATGTGTGTCTCTCAATGTATATAAATCAAGTTTAATCACTGATTTAGGAATTAATGGTTCGTGGCCTGGTGGCAAAAGCTCTCGCTTCACACGTTGAGGGTCCTGGTTCGATTCCCGTCAAGGGTGGGAACATCCTTCCTTACACCGGTTGCCCCTATTCACCCATCAGTAATAATGGGTACCTGTGTGATAGTCGACTGGTGTGGGTCGCATCCTGGGACGAAATTGACCTAATTTGCCTGAAATGCTCAGCATAACAAGCGGCTTTCTATATAGTAGTATGTCATTGATGTCAGTTATGGTCTGTATACGTTGTACCTGTAGAAATAAAAAATATATATATGTATCTTAGACTAGTGTGTACAAGAGACACTCGGGCAGTCGACAACCAGTAAATCTAACAGACTATGAATTATTATTCTTTTCTTCCTTGACATTCACAAGGCAGCACTACCTACTGTTGAGTACGAGGGTCATCGCCCCCACCGCCCGGTCCCAGACCAGGTCTTCTGGTTGATGGCTTGATCAGTTAGGCTGTTTTGGTGTTGCAAGACACAACTCAGCGCAGGCACCACAGTACATTGCAGAGTCACTTGTTTGCACAGAACTGCTTAATGCCTCAAAATTTGATGTAGTGGAATTTTTTAGCAGAAAAGGGTCGAGAACCAAAACCTAGTCATTGTGGTAGTCTACAAGCCTCCGGATGCAACATCCCAGCAATTCCAGGAACAGCTGTTAAAAATTGACCACTGTCTGGAAAATCTTCCAGCCCCCTGCACCCAACATCTTGCTCCTGGGGGATTTCAACTTAAGGCACCTAAAAGGGAGGAATTTTAGCAAAAAATATTGTTGCAGTAATAACCCCAGGAGGCCAGCTCTGATGAAAACTCACACTCACACGAGCTTTTAAATCTCTGCACAAAAATTAAAATTTAAACCAGCAAAAATAGAGCCTACTAGACTGGAGAATAACACTGACCCATCTTCACTAACAATGATGATCTGATAAGAAATGTCACCATATCAAAAACCAATATACTCAGATCACAACATAATTGAGGTTCAGACATGTATGCGTGGACCCCAGACCGACATAATGAGACTAATCACGAGGGAGCATTCACCAAATTCAACTTCAATAACAAAAACATAAAGTGGGACCAAGTAAACCAAGTCCTAACCGATATAAGCTGGGAAGATATACTAAGCAACACAGACCCCAACTTATGCCTAGAACAGATTAACTCGGTGGCACTCGATGTATGCACAAGGTTATTCCTCTAAGAAAAGGAGGAATAGATGTAAAATAGAAAGAGACAGGCGCTCCCTTTACAGGCGACGGAAAAGAATAACAGAGCGGCTAAAAGAGGTCAATATATCTGAAATGCGTGGGGAGACACGGTCAAAGAAATAACAAGCATCGAACTTAAGCTAAAAAATCCTTTAGGAGTCGGGAATCGCGGGAAGGAACTAAAAGCCAAAAATGAAATCGAAAGAAACCCAAAGTATTTCTTCTCCTATGCCAAAATCAAAATCGAGAACAACGTCCAGTATTGGGCCCTACTTAAACAAGATGGGTCCTAACAGTTTGACAGCAAGGAAATGAGTGAGCTACTAAAGTCCCAATATGACTCGTTTTTAGAAAGCCGCTAACCAGACTGAGAGTCGAAAATCAAAATGATTTTTTTTTTGAGAGAGCCACAAAATTTGATTAACACAAACCTATCCGATGTTATCCTGACGCCAAATGACTTCGAACAGGCGATAAATGAAAATGCCCCTGCACTCTGCCCCAGGGCCAGACTCATGGAACTCCGTGTTCATCAAGAACTGCAAGAAGCCCCTAACACGAGCCTTTTCCATCCTATGGAGAGGGAGCATGGACATGGGGGTCGTCCCACAGTTACTAAAAACAACAGACATAGCCCCCCTCCACAAAGGGACAGCAAAGAACTACAGACCAATAGCACTAACATCCCATATCATAAAAATCTTTGAAAGGGTCCTAAGGGGCAAGATCACCACCCATCTAGAAACCCATCAGTTACACAACCCAGGGCAACAATGGGTTTAGAACAGGTCGCTCCTGTCTGTCTCAACTATTGGATCACTACGACAAGGTCCTAATGCACTAGAAGACAAAAAGAATGCAGATGTAATAATACAGACTTTGCAAAAAGCCTTCGACAAGTGTGACCATGGCGTTTAAAAGCGCACAAAATGCGTGCTAAAGGGAATAACAGGAAAAGTCGGTCGATGGATCTATAATTTCCTCACTAACAGAACACAGAGAGTAGTCGTCAAAAAAGAGTAAAGTCCGAGGCAGCTACGGTGAAAAGCTCTGTTCCACAAGGCACAGTACTCGCTCCCATCTTGTTCCTCATTCTCATATCCGACATAGACAAGGATGTCAGCCACAGCACCGTGTCTTCCTTTTCAGATGACACCCGAATCTGCATGACAGTGTCTTCCATTGCAGACACTGGCAAGGCTCCAGGGGAAAATCACCCAATCTTTCAGTGGGCTGCCCGAAAACAATATGAAGTTCAACGATGAAATTTCAATTACTCAGATATTGGTAAACATGAGGAAATTAAATCTTCATCAGAGTACAAAACAAATTCTGGCCACAAAATAGAGCGAAACCCCCAACGTCAAAGACCTGGAGTGATCATGTCGGAGGATCTCACCTTCAAGGACCATAACATTGTATCAATCGCATCTGCTTAGAAAAAATGACAGGATGGATAATGAGAACCTTCAAAACTAGGGAGGCCAAGCCCATGATGACACTCTTCAGGTCACTTGTTTATCTAGGCTTGGAATATTGCTGCACACTAACAGCACCTTTCAAGGCAGGTGAAATTGGCCGACCCAGAAAAATGTTTCAGAGAACTTTCACGGCGCGCATAACGGAGATAAAAACACCTCAATTACTGGAGCGCTTGAGGTTCCTAAACCTGTATTCCCTGGAACGCAGGAGGGAGAGTACATGATTATATACACCTGGAAATCCTAGAGGGATTGTACCGAACTTGCACACGAAAATCATCCTACGAAAGAAAAGATTGGGAGACGATGCACCACCCCCCCAAAGAAAAACAGGGGGGGTCACTAGCACGTTAAAGACCATACAATAAGTGTCAGGGGGCCCCAGACTGTTTAACACCTCCCAGCCCATAAGGGGTTTTTCCCAAAAACCCCCGGCGTCTTCAAACTGGCCCGGCAGCCCCAAAGTCAGTTCCGTCACCGGGCGTGGCTCGTACGTTTTGGGTTTGGGGTGCAGCCAGCAGCAACGCCTGGTTGACAGGGGCCCTTTCCCCCAGGAGGCCTTGTCACAGACCCGGGCC